ACATCAGTAGTCACAACAAAAAGACTACACCTCACATCACGTCACACAACAAGATACCCCTCACTTTCACGTCACAACAAAAAGATACACTCACAGTCACGTCAAAACAAAAAGACTAACCTAAAAGTCACGTCCAACAACAAAATAACCTCACGCACTCACAACAAGATTTACACCTCACGTCACGTACAACAAAAGACTACCCCTACGTCCTCACAACAAAAGACTACACCTCACAGTCACGCACAACAACAAGACTACACCTCCAGTCACGTCAAAACAAAAAGACACACCTCACAGTCCGTCACAACAACAAGACACACCCACAGTCACGTCACAAAAAGGGACTACACCTCCGTCACGTCACAACAACAAGATACACCTCACAGCACGTCCAAACAAAGACTACACCTCACAGTCACGTCAAAAACAAAAAGACTACCCCTCAAGTCATCACAACAACAAACTCACCTCACATCACGTCCACAACAAGACTAACCTCACAGCACGTCACAACAAGCTACCTCACGTAGTCCAAAAAAAGACTACACCTCAATTTTCACGTCCCAACAGACTACACCTCACAGTCACGTCACAACAAGACTACACCTCACAGTACGTCCAAACAACAAGACTACACCTCACAGTCACGTCACAACAACAAGACTACACCTCACGTCACGTCACTACCCCCGACTATGTAAAACCCCACCTAAAACTCTCCCCAAAGCATTAAGATTTTTTTCTGTTTTCATTAAATTCTTCCCAGATTTTTTAATTATAAAGGGAATCCAATTTATATAAACCAAAAGAAATTTTACATTATTTTCGAAACTGTTTTTTATGAAATATGATTCTTTATATTTCCTGTCGACCATGGACAGCTTAATACAACTTTTCAACCTTTTGAAAAGCAATTGGTTGGTTAAAATCTCTCACATGAATAAATAGAGCATTAGAATCATGTCCAGTCTTAGTTCGAGACTTTACCAGTTTGACCGTAATAAACTTTATCACATATTTCACAAGGATTCTTATAGACTACATCCGTCATATTTCGGGGAAATTTTTTTATCAAAAGTTTTTTTTACTGTATCAAGATTTTTAAACACAACTTTGATATTAAAAGTCTTAAGAAGAGAAGGCATATCAACCAAGTTTTGATGGTAAGGGAGAACCAAAACATATTTTTAGTCGAATTATAGTACAAATAGACATTTAAACTTACACAACACACACACACCAACATACACAAAACCCCACAACACACACACACAACACAACCACACACACACACACACGTACAAACACCGAACAGGCCAAGTGTTTTATAGACAAGTGACTTTGACAAAATGGTAACTAATAACACACTCCTCACTTTCTCAATCTCCTATCGACTCACTTTTCGAAGTTGAGACAATGGGCAGCAGTGAGGGCCTCTTTTCCTAGTGATGAGTGCCCCAAACCACACTGTTTAGGAGATCTTCCATCTTTGATCTTAAGCATGAGCATCCAGGGATACTCCCCAGGCTGAGCCTCCCCTTTCCTCCCACGATGCGAGTCACCCAGCATCAGAGGGAGCTGCACCAACAACTGATAGTATTCCTAGTGGTGAGAGGCGCCACTTCATCACTGGATCCACCCATCGAAATTTCCCCGGGCATTAAAAAAATCATGAAATATTAAAATTATATGTAAAGTATTCACTCAGTACTTGTGTTGTAGAAGACTTTAGTAGTAAAATATATGACTTAAGCCTTACTTGATGCGCAACCTGGGGGCTGGTGACCCTGTGCTGTGTCCAGACCATCCCATCACCACCACCATCACCACCACTACTTCCTCCACCACCACCACCATCACCACCACTGTCTGCAAACACTCCATCGTTGCTGCCCGTAATATACACGAAATCGTTAACAAAATTCACTTTGAGTAAAAAGATTGCATTAAATTTTAAACTTAATTGCATTTATAGTTCCTAACTTTTTCTTTAAAACCCGTAGCACTTATGTAATAATGATAAATATTACTGGTTAAAACAACTGGAAAGGACACGTTAAGCAGGGAGGGGCTTTTATAATAAACAGCGATAGAAACAAGCGAAGTATCAGTTGGGCTTCTCTGACTGGCTGCTGAGACTCAGTCACCAACACAATGACAGCCAAACTACCCAGCAGAAATCTTTCGGAGTTTGAAATATCGTATTTAGAGCCCTAGAGAAAATTGCTGAGCTGGGCTTGTCAGGAAGGAAACAGTCAGGGGAATAAATGGAAAGAAGAGAGGAAGAAGACAGACAGGTGGGAAGTTGTTGGTCAGTCTTCGAGGAAGAAAAGACAGGTGGGGAGTGGTTGGTCAGTCTTCGAGGAAGAAAAGACAGGTGGGGAGTGGTTGGTCAGTCTTCGAGGAAGAAAAGACAGGTGGGGAGTGGTTGGTCAGTCTTCGAGGAAGAAAAGACAGGTGGGGAGTGGTTGGTCAGTCTTCGAGGAAGTGTCAGTCAGTAGTGATAGTCAACAATTAGGAAGGAAGTGATTCGATCAGTCAGAAAGAAAATAACTGTGACCGACAGTGAAGGATCATAACAGTGGTACAATTTCCTGTAAAATGTGATAGAACGGTGAGATACCTTGAGCAACAGAATACAGTGAAGTGCCAAGAGAGTGCTATCCAGTGACTGCAGTGTCTCTTCAGTATTTTCAAATGTAACTGTAGTTAAGTGAGAATGTACAGTGTAAATGTACACTTTATGAATGCTATTTGAACAGTTCCTTATTTTTTAAACTATATATTATTTATTCTTTGACTTGTGCGAATTATCATTCGCACAACATCCACGCACATTCAAACATCCCACTTTATTTGTGTGTGTGTGTGTGTGTGTGTGTGTGTGTGTGTGTGTGTGTGTGTGTACTCACCTATTTGTACTCACCTATTTGTGGTTGCAGGGGTCGAGTCATAGCTCCTGGCCCCGCTCTTCACTGATTGCTACTAGGTCCTTCTCTCCCTGCCCCATGAGCTCTATCATACCTCGCCTTAAAACTATGTATGGTTCCCCCCTCCACTACGTCACTTTCTAGGCTATTCCACGGCCTGACTACTCTATGACTGAAGAAATACTTCTTAACATCCTTTGATTCATCTGAGTTTTCAACTTCCAATTGTGACCTCTTGTGTCTGTGTCCCTTCTCTGGAACATCCCGTCTTTGTCCCACCTTGTCTATTCCGCGCAGTATTTTATATGTAGTTATCATGTCTCCCTTGACCCTCCTGTCCTCCAGTGTCGTCAGGCCGATTTCCCTCAACCTTTCTTCGTAGGACAATCCCCGGAGCTCTGGGACTAGTCTTGTTGCAAACCTTTGCACTTTCTCTAATTTCTTGACGTGCTTGACTAGGTGTGGATTCCAAACTGGTGCTGCATACTCCAGTATGGGCCTGACGTAAATGGTATACAGAGTCTTGAACGAATCCTTACTGAGGTATCGGAACGCTATCCGTAGGTTTGCCAGGCAGCAGTTATCTGATTGATGTGCGCCTCAGGAGATATGCTCGGTGTTATACTCACCCCCAGATCTTTTTCCTTGAGTGAGGTTTGCAGTCTTTGGCCATCTAAACTATACTGTGTGTGTGTGTGTGTGTGTGCGTGTGCGTGTGGGTGTGCGTGTGCGTGTGCGTGTGCGTGTGTGTGTGTGTGTGTGTGTGTATGTGTGTGTGTGTACTGTATACACCAACATACACACCACCCCAGGTGTTGGAGCTCATCATCCCTCACCGATACACTGATCCTCCTTAGTATGAACACACGTGTGGGTCAGACAGGAAAATCCAAAGCTTCTATATGAATTCTACCCTATGGTAGTCAACAATGGTGTGTCGTTGACCATTAAGGAGCTACGTGCAGTATTTTACCTTGGGCGTTGATGAGACAAACAATCCTGGACTTCTTAGCTTTCTTCCTCCGCCTCTCGTATAACAAGTACAACTGAGAGAGAGCTGTCATGGGCCTGGGAGGCAGGCGATCACACGACGTGCTGGGGAGAGGTAGAACTATAAATGTCATTGTCAGCGACACCACCTCTCATCATCAACAACATCAACTTGTCATTGTATCTATCACAACCAATTTAACACTAGATGCCGCCTCCTGTCGACATGATCAAGACACTCCATCATTTATCTTAACCAGCGACTAATGTCAGTTGTCATATAATCAGTATGGGGACAGGTAAAACAAGATAATGCTACCTTACCCATCTTTGTATTGGCCATGTCCATGAGTTATGTCCCGTATGCTTCCTGGGAGGACAGTATTCATAACTAACTGAGCCCAGCTCTAAAACAGTGACAGGTTCAAACCCCGAAAGAAGAATCGAGTTTCCATTGTTTCACAAAATTACATATTTTTTTATCAACTGTTTGTAACGTTAAATCCAGATAAAAATAATAATTCTGGTGAATTATTAAGCTATTAAGCTATTAAGCTCGTGGAGCTGGTGGAGTTTCGTGGAGGGAGGGAAGGAAGGGCAGATGACACGAGGATCTATGGACATAGAGAACAATGAAGAAGTGACAGGAGAAACTCACATGGAAGTTGAGATGCCGTCAGTGAGGTGGAGGAACTCCCTGCTGCAGCGGGCCGTCCTGAAGATCTTGCAGCTAAAGGAGAGTGATGACCCTAACTGGGGCTGTCGGAAATATATTATTATATTCATGGAAAGCCGCTAAATCCGTAGGAAATATGCAGCACTACGACAGTAGTCAAAGGGAGTTTGAGGGTTGAAAACTGAAATGACGGATATAAACTCTGCTGACCGTTTGATAAACGGGACAATCAATTAAAAGATCCTGAACCCGTCAACGAGAAAGACTGCTGGACAGAACCTCTGAGAGAGAGAGAGAGAGAGAGACAGACAGAGAGAGAGAGAGAGATTCTCTCAACACTTCCAAAGAATCTTTTGGCATATTTTCAGGAACATGAAAAGAGAGGCACAAGTTGCAGGACAAGCTTTTATTGTCCCATTAAAGGCTTGTTCTGCAGCTTTGTCTTTGTCTTCACGCCTTGTCAGCAATACGCTATTTCATCCTAGCAGGAGCATCTTCAGAAGAAGCGGCTATGTGAGTCTTACCGTGAAGATCATTTCGCAGAAGGTGGAGGGACCTTGGCAGCTTAAACTTGACCTCATCTCCAGCACCACAGGACGTACGTTCCTCCACACGCACCCACTGCAGAAGGTAAGAGCATCCTGTTGTTATCCCTATATGGCAGATTAATTCATTCTTAATTATCTAACTTTGAAAATGTAAGGTTGATATATCAAGTAGGCTTTATACTGCAATATACTGGGAAGAAACGTGCAAATACATAAATAAAATTCAAGCAGATTGGGACGGCCAGACAGAAATGTAAGCAAAAACAGGTTTTTAAATAGTAAAGAAAAATTTAAAAACAAACTCAGATACAAAGAATTCAAACACAAATAGCAAAAAACAAGAGAAGTAGTATGCTCTTACAAACCCACATCACCATCTACCACCATCCCACCAGAATACTAATATCCACGCCATACTCCATCACAAAAACACCATATCACCATTACCCCACCAGCTCTCCACGCCATACCAAATTCTTCCTTTTCTTTGGTCTCTTCCTTATCCTATGCTTGAGCTTCCTCTCCAGTTCTGTCGTGAGGAATCAAGACGGCGGCGCTGGCTTGATTTGTTCTTACCAGTGGCTGTTCGGACTCCTGGAGAGGTTCTGCTGCCACTTAGCCTCTTGCAGTTCTTCTTGCCCCTGCCCCAACTCCTCGTTCTTACCACGCGACGCTTAGAACATCTTAGGAACATTCGCCCCAGTTCCGTCATTTCTCCGAATTCCTTGCGGAAGGAAATGGAATATAATATGTATATAAGTTATTTATCTTGACAGTTTCGCAACAAGAAAGCGTTATGACAATAAAAACAGCTATTGATTGCTTATATTCCTCTACATGACTCAGCTGCAGAGAACACTGAATAAGTACAATAATACGCGTCGAAAATCTATGTTAATAGTAGATGTACCATCATTATTTGTTTTTAACTAAGAGTGCAAGTGGGACACACTTATAGATTACTGCAAGGATGTAGCTGGACATGGGGGAGCAGTTATAGTGTGTATCTTTTGATTTCCATTACTTAATGTGCTTTTATATATATTTATATATAAATATTTATATATATATTATATATATATATATATTATATATATATATATATATTTATATATATATATATTTTATTGAGAGCATATCTTGTACAGACATAATACATATATATAGTATAACACACAACACACAACACACAAGTTCGGCCTATTCGGCCGAGCTTGCCGAATAGGTCGAACTCCCTTAAAATATAATCTTTTCCAAAAAAATTTTTTAGAGAATGACAGATTTTTTTTTTTCGTTGATAATGATATAAAAAAATTATTTTTTTGGACCGAAACGTAACTTAAAAACCTCACCTAACATCACTTAACCTAATTTTTTTTTTAGCCAAAATCTGATATATAAATATCATAGGTTAATTTAAATTTATTTAATATTACTTAAAATCTGATATACTTTTTTCGTGATCCTAGACTGATTTCGCTGATTTATGGCAATTTTCATACTGCTAATTCGGCAAAGAAACCCTTGCCGAACAGGCAAAATCTGCGATTCGGCTTAATTCGGTACACACACACATACACACACACACACATAATACACACACACACTACACACACACACACACACACACATATACACACATACACACACACACACACACACACACACACACACACACACAAACACACACACATACACACACATCCACATACATACACACACACAACACACAACACACACACACACACCACACACACACACATACACACACACACACACACACACACACAACAAACACACACACACACATACACACTAACACCACACACACACACACACACACACACACAAAACACACACACATACACACAAACACACAAACACACATGGCCACATGGTTTCAGGGACGGGAAATCCTGTGTTCACAAACCTACTGGAGTTCTATGACATGGTGACAGCAGTAAGACAAGAGAGAGAGGGGTGGGTGGATTGCATTTTCTTGGACTGCAAGAAGGCGTTTGACACAGTTCCACACAAGAGATTGGTGCAAAAAATGGAGGACCAAGCAGGGATAACAGGGAAGGCACTACAATGGATCAGGGAATACTTGTCAGGAAGACAGCAGCGAGTCATGGTAAGTGGCGAGGTGTCAGAGTGGGCACCTGTGACCAGCGGGGGTCCCGCAGGGGTCAGTCCTAGGACCAGTGCTGTTTTCTGGTATTTGTGAACGACATGACGGAAGGAATAGACTCTGAGTTGTCCCTGTTTGCAGATGACGTGAAGTTGATGAGAAGAATTCACTCGATCGAAGACCAGGCAGAACTACAAGGGATCTGGACAGGCTGCAGACCTGGTCCAGCAATTGGCTCCTGGAGTTCAATCCCACCAAGTGCAAAGTCATGAAGATTGGGGAAGGGCAAAGAAGCCGCAGAAGGAGTACAGTCTAGGGGGTCAGAGACTACAAACCTCACTCAAGGAAAAAGATCTTGGGTGAGTATAACACCAGGCACATCTCCTGAAGCGCACATCAACCAAATTAACTGCTGCAGCATATGGGCGCCTAGCAAACCTCAGAACAGCATTCCGACATCTTAATAAGGAATCATTCAGGACCTGTACACTGTGTATGTTAGGCCCATATTGGAGTATGCGGCACCAGTTTGGAACCCACACCTAGCCAAGCACGGTGAAGAAACTAGAGAAAGTGCAAAGGTTTGCAACAAGACTAGTCCCAGATGCTAAGAGGTATGTCCTACGAGGAGAGGTTAAGGGAAATCAACCTGACGACACTGGAGGACAGGAGAGATAGGGGGGACATGATAACGACATACAAAATACTGAGGGAATTGACAAGGTGGACAAAGACAGGATGTTCCAGAGATTGGACACAGTAACAAGGGGACACAGTTGGAAGCTGAAGACACAGATGAATCACAGGGATGTTAGGAAGTATTTCTTCAGCCACAGAGTAGTCAGTAAGTGGAATAGTTTGGGAAGCGATGTAGTGGAGGCAGGATCCATACATAGCTTTAACGCAGAGGTATGACAAAGCTCACGGCTCAGGGAGAGTGACCTAGTAGCGATCAGTGAAGAGGCGGGGCAGGAGCTCGGACTCGACCCCCGCAACCTCAACTAGGTGAGTACAACTAGGTGAGTACACATACCACACACACACAAACACACACACACACACACTACATACACACACACACAACACCACACACACACACACACACACACACACACACACACACACACACACACATACACACACACAAACACACACACACACATACATACATACATACATACACACACACACACACACACACACACACACACACCACACAATGGTACACGTATAAGTGGAGGTACAAAGAACATACAGAGAAACACTTGATGTAGCACATGACTTGCATGGACAGTGTGTATTTGTATGTGTGTGTGTGTGTGCTCATCTATCCTTGCTGTACTTACCAGGGATGAAATCATGACCCCAAACTCTGTGTATGTGTGTGTGTGTAATAACCAATCTGAGTTTTGAGTGAAGGGGCAGCGGCAGACGAGCTTTAGTTCTTGATCCTGTCTTAATTTGCGTCAGGCAGACGCGAAATAGCAATGTCATATGAGAATGTGTGTTTTTGAACCCGTATATGGAGTTACTTATTTAATGTGTCACTGTTTAATGTCTTCCTTGTTTTGCCACTCTTATGCTAAGAAATATTATTCATGATATTTCTGTGGCTTATTTGGTTATGTAGTTTCCAGTCTTGCCTCCTTGTCCTCGTTGCGTCCCTGATAAAGAACCTACCCATGTCTACCTGGGTATTTTGTAAGTCATAACTAAACAGAACTGCTGTCAGTTCTTCCAGTGACTTGAGGTCAAGCATTCTCATTCTATTTAATTAAAAATCTTCCCAGTCCGTTTGCGGCACCAAGGAGAGGGGAGGGGGGAAACATGGGGGGCTGAAGCCCCCTCATAATCTCCATTATCCCCCTAAATAAAAATAATAAAAATGCCAGCGTCAAGGCAAGTCTCATAGCTCCCTCTTCTAAATAGATTTCCATGTCTATCCTTGCCTATATTGACCTTCTTTAGCTGGCCGTTGTTCTCGGCTCTGGTAACTCTCTGGATGCACCTCACTTCAGATTTTCCTGAGTTTCTCTGTCTTGTGCAGGGTGAATGTTACACACCTGAGAGACAGACTCAGTTAGTCAAACGTGAAACACAAAAACGTATGTGTGTAATAATTTATTTGTATAGATTCTGCGTCCACTGTAGCACTGGTTCTGGTCATTCCAGTGTACTCACCTATTTGAGGATGCAGGGGTCGAGTCATAGCTCCTGGCTCCGCCTCTTCACTGGTCGCTACAAGGTCGCTCTTCCTGCTCCATGAGCTTTATCATGCCTCTTCTTATAAAGCTATGTATGGATCCTGCCTCCAACTACATCGCTTCCCATTCTATTCCACTTCCTGACAACTCTATGACCGAAGAAATACTTCTTAACATCCCTGTGATTGATATGAGTCTTCAGCTTCCAATTGTGACACCTTGTTGCTGTTGTCCCATCTATGGAAAAATCCTGTCTCTATCCACCTTGTCAATTCATCCTTTTGTATTTCATATGTCGTTATCCTGTCCCCCTATCTCTCCTGTCCTCCGGGCCTCGTAGGACATTACCCCTTACTCGGGACTAGTCTTGTTGCAAACCTTTGAACTGTCTCTAATTTCCTTACATGCTTGGCTAGGTGTTGGGGGTTTAAACTGGTGCTGCATACTCCCAAAATAAGCCTGACACACACGGTGTACAGGGTCCTGAACGATTCCCTTTTTGGTTAAGTTTTTTCT